TCAAACGTAGCACCCAATACTCTCTCTCTCTCTAGTCATCAGAATACGGAGATGATAGCTAAGGCCATCCACAAATCTCCTGATCCTCTCACAATCTGATGGAATCGTCCAGGTGGCATGACAAGCCAACTCCGAAAACCTCATCTCGTACTCGATCACGGTCATATCTCTCTGCGTCAACCACTTTAACTGCCTACGCAGCTCCTCTCTGCGGGATTGCGGTACATACTTCTCCAAGAAGAGAGTGGAGAACTGCTACCAAGAAAGGGGCGCTGCACCAACCGGCCTACGCCTCTCATACGCCTCCCACCAAGTGAAGGCATCTTCAGTAAACTGAAAGGTGGTAAATGACACACCACTAGACTCAAGAATCCCTGTTGTACGGAGCATCCGCTAACACCTGTCAAGAAAACCCTGGGCATCCTCGCCCTCAGCACTAGTGAATGTTGGAGGCTGGAGTCTACAAAACCTCTCAAGACGATGCTGCTCATCCTCCGGCATAACTGGAACCCTGAACTCCTGCACTGGTGCAACCTGCTGAGCTGGAGGTGCCTCTGGCGTCTGTAGTCCCTGCACTACCTGCTCAGGTGTGCGAGCAGCGGGGGTGTGGTTGCCTCCCCCGCCCTGCGAAGTAGCTGCAGATGTGGTGGCTGAAACTGCCTGAGCCAGGCCGGTGCAAACTGTCAAAATCTATGTCAAGGTCTCATGTAGTCCCGTAATCACGATGGGCACGGTTGGTGCCTGAACTGGTGTTGCTGGAGTCTGATCCGGAGCTGGGGCAGCTGGTGGATCAATAGATGTTGCCCTCGCTACTCTGCCTCTGCCACGATCACGTCCACGGCCTCTGGTGGCCACAGTGGGTGGCACTGGTGGTCGTCTACCTCGTCCGGTAGCTCGTGTCCTCACCATCTGTGAGAGAATAGAATAATAGAAGTTTAATCCCCGGTTCAATAAAGTCGCACGACAAGAATTTCAAGAATGTGAAGTTTTCCTAAAGGTTCCGCAGCCTCTCGAGGATAAATACAGACGTCTCCGTACCGATCCGCGAGACTCTACTAAACCGGCTCATGACTTGCGAGACCTAGTAACCTAGGCTCTGATACCAACTTGTCACGAACCCAACCCCGGTCGTGATGGTGCCCAACACATTGCTAGGCAAGCCCGACCAATTTTCAATCACAACCCTTCGCTTATAGAGTTCATTTCCAATTAACAGAGTTTTAAATACTGATTAACATGAATAGAAGTCTGAAGCAGTAAATGAGATGTGCGGAAACATAACAATATCTCTACACTAGCCCACCGATCCGGTGTTACAAGTCAAGAGCCTCTATCACAAGATTTCAACAGCCTAATACAGAGATAGTCTAGAATACTGAAAAGTAAAAGATAGAGGGAGAAATCGGGTCTGTGGACGCCATGCAGCTACCTTGATGACTCCGGTGAATGATAATCAGCAAGAAAACTCCCACTATGCCTCGGGAACACCTGAATCTGCACGCAAGGTGCAGGGAGTAATATGAGTACTCCGACCCAGTGAGTAATAATCAGAAATAACGGGTGACAGTAAGAAATCCTGTAAAGTCACTAAGCAGTTCTATACCAAGCAGTAAATCAACTCAAAGCAGCAAAATAATGAATAAGTCGAGTGAATTATCTTTAAATTAGGTAAAACAGATAGTTTACTAGGTATTTAACAAGTATTATTCCGTTCTTCGTACATAGTAACCATATATCTCCCACAATGACCAAAATCAAAATAACCGCTGCGGCGTGCAGCCCGATCCGTACATTGTTGTGACGCACAGCCCGATCCATATAAATAGTCGACCGCGCTCACTAGGGGTGTGCAGACTCCGGGAGGGGCTCCTTCAGCCCAAGCGCTATATTGTTATGGCGCACAGACCGATCCATATAAATAGTCGACTGCGCTCACTGAGGGTGTGCAGACTCTGGGAGGGGCTCGTTCAGCCCAAGCGCTATATTGCTGCGGCGCGCAGCCCGATCCATATAAACATTTGATGCGGCGTGCAGCCCGATCCATATAAGTATTTGTTGTGGCGTGCAGCCCGATCCTTAACATATATATATATATATATATATATATATATATATATATATATATATACATATAATCCTAATCCTCACTGTTTGGTCCTCAACCCCTCTCAGTCATCTTAGGACACAAAAGTATAAGGTAGGGATCTCAGCCCACATATTTTCTCATTTAGGATTTGCATTGATAAAACCGGTTCATATTGTTTAAGCAAGTAGAAGAACATGACTGAAGGTATGATTTTTAACAAGTAAAGTGTGGAGAATCAGTCAAAGGCCCCTAAGGGTTCTACAGGTCGGCACAAGGCCCCAAACATGGTAACTAGCCCAAATCATAATGATAATAATTAAATCTCAGTCAAAAATATGGTGAAATCATCAAACGGATGGACCAAGTCACAACTACCAGTAGTAATGGACCCCCACGCTCATGATGCAGCGCGTGTCTCACCTTAACATAGCACTACGTTGTGCAAATCCGGGGTTTCAAACCCTCAGGACACCATTTACAATCATTACTCACCTCAAAGCGGTCGAAGCTCTAGCTCGCTACGCCCTTGCCTCTCAAATCGTCCTCCTCGCGCATCGAATCTAACCAAAACCACAACGAATACGTCACAATAGGCTAAGGGAACAAAACCCAAGCGAAAACAATCAAAAAAATATCGAAAATTCCGAAATTAGCAAAACCCGAGCCCCGGGCCCACTTCTCAAAACTCAGAAATATTCACATCAACTGGTTCCTTACCTCGCCACGAGTCTATGCATATAAAGAACACCAAAATCGGAGTCCAAATGACCCCTCAAATCCCAATTTAAAATCTCAAAATCACAAGCCCTAGTTCTTCCATTTTTGGCTAAATTTTCATGAATTTCTAGGTTGATTCCACAATAAAATTACGTTTTTGGTTCATAAAACTTACCTCCAATCAGCCCTCTTCGAATCCCTCTTCAATTTCTCCCAAGGAGCTCTCAAAATGTTCAACAATGGAGGAAAAATGATTTAACCTCGCGGAATAAAATGTTTAAAACCTTCTGCCCAGCTACAGGACTTTCTTCTTTGCGATCGCGACCCCAGGCTCGCGATCGCGAAGAGCAAACTTTCCAAGCCTCAAAAATGGTCTATGCGAACGCGACCAAACGACTGCGAATGCGAAGGAGAAACATACCTGGACTCCAAGGCCTTATACGCGAACGCGAACCACTAGATGCGCACGCGAAGCCTCACCATCTGACCCTCTGCGATCGCGAATGCCCAAACGCGAACGCGATGAATAAAAACTCCTGCCTCCCAAATTCCTTCTATGCGATCGCGAGGGACCTCCCGTGATCGCGAAGACCAAAAATCTTCTACAATGACTGCTGCATTTTCTGCAATTCCTCCAAGTCTCAAAACCTCCCGATAGCCATCCGAAATCACCCCGAGGCCCCCGGGACCTCAATCAAAAGCACCAACGCATCCTAAAACACCATTCAAACTTACTCCAATCATCAAAACACCTCAAACAACACCAAAACCATCAAATTACATCGAGTTCAAGCCTAAGTTCTTCTAAAACTTCCGAAACACACATTTGATAAAAAACCCAACTAAATCACCTCCGAATGACCTAAAATTTTACATACACATCCCAAATCACACAACGAAGCCACAACAACTCTCGGAGTCCCATTCCGACCCTCGGATCAAAATCTCACCTATCAACCGGAAATCGCCAAAGTACTAACTTAGCCAATTCAAGCCTAATTCTACACTGGACCTCCAAAACCACTTCCGATCACACTCCTAAGTCACAAATCATCCCCGAAGCTAACCGAATCATCAGAAATCACATCCGAGCCCTCTAACGCATAAGTCAACAATCGGTTGACTTTTCCAAACTAAGCCTTCCTTAAAAAGACTAAGTGTCTCATTTCTTACCAAATTCACTCCGAACTCAACCCAATCAACTCAACCACATAAAACACGGATAATGAAGCATAAAGAAATAGAAATGAGGGAAACGAGGCGGCAACTCATGACGGGTCGGGTCGTCACAGTATACCCATTACTTACAATGCATTTCCAAGCTTTATAAATTTTTTCTTTTGGTTCATGGCTTAGTAGACATATTATTCTTGGCTTTTGGTTTACATGTATCATTCAAGAGAGACATGCTTGAACAGTAATATTTTTTTCCTATATATATATATATATCTTTTTATCTTGAAAAGGATATTGGTGGCTCTGTTTGTCGAATTAAACGTCAACTACTGTTATTCATATACTTTGTCTCTTTTTTCTTGCCAACTATACTCTATTACTATTCACTAAGTTTTTGAACATGTTTGGCAATATATTTTCTCTAATCTGCAGAAATTTGATACATAACACATATATGTACTTGCCTTTTTTAGTATCAGTTTCTTCTCTTTCAACTGATAGTTATATATCTGTTCATTAGTAGCTTTATATCTGATGTATAATTTTAGTTCGGTGCTATAACTTGAAAACAAAACAACGTCGTAAAGAATTTACTGAAACTTGAATATAATTGTTGTTGTGGTAAGATTTGTTTTTCATATATGAGTTTGGAGTTCTTACACTTTTATGTTTCAGTAGACTTATCTTTTTGTAGTGTACCTGATGAAGAATAAGAAAAAGACATTCTATATAGATCAGTAGTTAAATAATATGTGCGTTAAATCTCCAGATAACATATCCTTTTTGTTTTTGTTTTGAATGCAAAATATTATGGTAAGGCTTCCTGAACTTACCGTTCTTTGGTTATATGCCAGAAATTAGTGTTGCTAGTTGCAAAAAATACAGTCTATAGAAATCAAGGTCATGCTAGGATTTGGGCAAACTGATACCTTCTTCTTCTTTTCTTTTTTTAAATTTTTTTGTCAGAACAACTTGGGAAACAACCTCTCTATCCTCACAAGGTAGGGGTAAGGTCTGCATAAACACTACCCTCCCCAGACCACGGTGTGGGATAATACTGGGTATGTTGTTGTTGTTGTTGTTGTCTGAACAACTTGCTGGTATATAAGGCATAATCAATTTATTAATATAAACTGATGCAGTTAGCGTGCTCTTGAATCATTTTGTTTGCATAATCCTTTTTCTTGTTGTGCTGATTCTGATAGTTCCTCCTGTAGAGGACTCTTTTTCTTGTTGAAGTATATTTTCTAGTTTCTAATGTTATGTTTTCCATTTCATTTACTGCCTTCTAGTTGGGTATGCAACTCTGTCAACGTTTCACTTTTAATTGTTGGTAGTTCAACCATGACGTTTCGGATCAAACAGTAAAGTATATTGAGAAATAGAGCTTCTTGTTAATTTCTTCTGGTGAAAAAACTTTGAATAATTACAGGTAATAAAACTTTGAATAATTACTGGTGAAAAAGTATTGTACTAACAAGAAGCTTCCTCCTGAGAGGTGTTCCAATCACTTATCTTTATTTCTCAATATAGTAGTTTAATTGTTTCTGGGATGAATTGGTCAACGGGATGATGAGCCATAGTATAAGATTATAAGTTGTAGGACTATGTTGTTTGTAGAAATTCACCAGCATCTTGCAACAGAAAGGGAAGCAGTAGAAGCAGTAGATCATCTATGGTATATTATTTATGCTTTGGTGGTTTATACCTCTGTCCATCATTCCATGTGATAATTTTTTTTCCTGGATTCCAGGTAATTGAAGAAAAGAACTTTAGCATACTTCCAATAAATAACTCTTTTATTGCCCGGAAGAAATATTGCTTGGTTCAGTTTGAAACTCTATCATATTCCACAAGAGCAATGCTTATCCTGGACCTCACTATTTATGTTTTAGCATTCAACTAAATTTATTTTCTGCCTTTTATTTTTTAATTAATTGTATGTAACCAAATCTACAAATGATTGGATTTGATGGTTGTAGGTGAAGCAAATGAACAAGGGTAGATGAATACGGTGAAGACCTTACTGAAGAGTATTGGTTGATCGTTCATAGACTTTAAGATGTTCTAGAATCTTGTATTTTAAATTATTTTGCAATCTTATGTATTAACTCTTGAATTGTCTAACAATATTATGTAATTTGCTTTTATATATGAATAATAATAATAGTTGAATATGTTGGATTCCAATTGTGTTGGTGAGTATTTCCTTTGTGATTTATATTAGTTTTAAGATATTATATTTTATTATATACGGTTGTAATAACTCCTAATAACCGTTGCAATAGCTCCTAGTAACCGTTGCAAAATCTCCTAGTAATGTTACCATAGCTCTTAATAACCGTTGCAATAGCCTCACATATCATTGCATAGAATGATATCGCAACGATTTTGAACCGTTCCATTTGACTATATAACCGTTGCAATAGACCGTCATATGACAACGCATTGAAAACCATTGCAATAATGAACTTATTGGAACGGTTGTGCAACCGTTGCTAGAAACCGTTGCAACAGCTCTATTGGCACGCGACCTGGTGGAACGCCTAAAAACTGTTGATATGTATGTAGATAACCAAGATGATATATATGTATGATTATATATCGTTCATGATTCTGCCGAAAATCATGTGTAGAATTCAAAAGCTTGTTGTTGCGCGGAGACTGGTGAGAACCTAGGTTTGTCTGATATAATGGATTTTAGCCCATTGTTGTGGTACTGTTTTAACGAACTGGTACGCTGTCATGAGGTGTTGTCGCGGCTCCCGTTCTATAAATTGATGATTGCTTTTGAATGGAATTATCCGTTTATTGTTCTGTTATTTTCTTATGTGATTGAGCACTGAATAAGGAAATAAAAAGAAAGTGATTGAGACCAAAGGAATTGGTGGGTGACGGCAGTAATGATAATATGTCTTGTAAAGTGAACCCTACTAATATTTGGTCAATCATCTGTTTTAATTTTTTTTTAAAAAGGGAAAAGGACCCATTATATTTGATTGTGTAGACTTGTGGCGTCTGGCAACGAGGCAATTTACTTGCCAAGAAGTTTTGAATCCAATTTTGGATTCATTGTTGTCCATTCGGAATAATCTACGGTCACACACGGAATAAAATATTTGGGCAGTGTTTGTATAATAATATGAGCATATTATTTTTCTCACAGTATATAGAGTGTATAAATAAGAATATATGAATAAATAATAGTTATCACTAAGGTGATTCACTTATTTGGAATCATTGAAAATTCTTAAGTAGTTTATACACGTGAGATAATATCATACATGAGTTAAAAATTTATGATTAATAAATGGTTATCACCAAGGTGATTTATTTATTTGGAATCATGGAAAATTCTTAATAATTTTATACATGTGTAATTATGTGAATTCATGGATTGAGCATTATGATTAATAAATATGATCCATTAAAATGGTCTATTTATTTAAGTCATTGAAAAATGCTCAATGTACCATGTGAAAATTAATTGTCCTTGATAAGTTTATGCTAGTAGTAGAGTTTTCATCTACACAAAAGAGGTTTACCTCTTGATACTAGTGACATTAAACTTATTCATGAGAAAAATAATTGAGGTTTTCACCAACTATGATGAAAAGTAATATCTTGAATTCTCATGTGTATAAAACGGGAGGACAATTGGATGTAAGAGGCGGTTTTATATACCTTACACAAGGTTATAATCAATGTTATATGCTCATGGAATAATTATAAGGATAATAGAAAGAATGATCGTATTTATTTTAATCCATGACAATGCCTAAAACGGTTATTTTCTGAATTTGGTTATGGATTTGGAGGTCATGTTTTTGATGAACTCCAATTAACCTGAAATTTGGTAGGTCCATCGGAAACAACTCGGCGAGAAACACTCACTGCTATGCAGTGAATCACGTTATTTTTGGGTGTTTCGAGGTCGTTTAGATGGGATTTTAAGCCGTTTATTGGATTAAATAAGATTTAAATATGAAAAATTATTCTTTATATATCAGTTTTATTTGTGTTAAATCTGGAACATGATTACACATGATGATTTAACTTAATATGATATATTGAAAGAATGTAAATCACATTGGTTGAATCTTAAATTCGCTTTAAAAGACTTATTCGAATTTAGTCTAGTTTTGGTGATCACCATCTCCAATTGACTTGAAATTCGGTGGGTTCATCGGAAATAACCTGATAAGAAATACTCATTGCTATGCAGAGAATTATGTCATATTTCGGCAGTTCAGGGTCATTTAGATGGTTTATTTTTTAGCAGTTTGCGGGATTAAAATGTGATTTAGATATGAAAAGTCATTCCTTTTATCTCAGTTTTATTTTATTAAATCTGGAACGTGATGACGCATGTTATTTTACATGAACTGATATATGGTTGGAATGTATGCCATGATTTAAATTCCTAAAAATGCTTAAATGGTAGCTTTTCAAATTTGGTTGTTGTTTTGAAGATCATGACTTTTATGATCTCCAATTGACCTGAATTTTGGTAGGTCTATCGGAAAACCCCGATAAATAATACTTATTGTATGCAGTGAATAACATTAATTTAGTGTTTCATGACTGTCTACATGGTTTTTTTTTTTTAGCATTTTGTGAATTTTGAAACTTAATCCTTAGAGAAAATTTCATGGTTGTGATCAAGTGGTGATAGGAATTAACCCTTATGGTCTCCACTATTTATAGTAAGATAATACATTTACGCGTCGACTTTAGGTCTTCCTCCATATCGAATAAATTTATTATGAACTTACTGAATATAATTACTAGTAGTTGATAACATGTATTGACTCTCCATCTGAGTTCACACGTTGAATCAATTTTGTAATTATAATGCAACCATGATTAAGTGGTGATAGAAATATATTTCTATGGTCTTCCACTATTAATTTCAAGTGAGTGTAAATTTACGCGTTGACTTTAGGTCTTCCTCCATATCGGATAAATTTATTGTAAGCTCACTAGGTGAAATACTAGTTATTGATATCATGTACTTACTCTCCATCTGAGTATACATGTTGGATCAATGGAACTAGAGATATTAGTTATGATATATACAATTGACAAAAAAAAAATAACAGTTTGCTCTCCATCTGAGTTGGTTCTGTTTCTTTTTTGGATTGTATAATTCTTGCATTATATAATATACTTTGCATGAATGGCTCTTTTCCCATCGATATTTGCTACTCAAGATGCATGTATGTATATATATTGAATGCAGTCTGAATTTTATTATTCAGTGTTATGACTTATTATGATCTACTTAATGTTGTATATCTCAACTCCACAATGACTTCATGTAGTTTGTCGTATCACTACTAAATAAAAAAATTCCTTTAATCGTTATAAGACGTTAATTTGATGGATTCATTGTATGTACCATCTGCTATAAGGAATTTAATTTCGGTTTTTTAGCAAAATAAGAGATGTATATTTAATTTATTTTAGAATAATGATTGTGTTATTGAGCTTCATAAATATTCTATCTCTTGTGGTACATAGATGCATGACCTTGTTATTGTTAATGTCGATCTCCTGAACTGAATAATATTAGTCTACCTTATAAGAGAAAATGTTCTTTAAAGTTTGAGTGAAACTTATCTGTGCACTTCTGTCTAAGTCATATTAATCTGGATATGATTTCAAGTTGGTCAAGCATGAACCTTAAGGTTCATTAAAAGTAGAGGCACTACCAACTTGTGGATCTTGTTTAAAAGGAAATATGACTAAGAGACATTTCTGCTCTAAAGGAAAGAGAGCTGGTGATAAGTTAGAACTAATCTATTTTCGATTGTGCTATCCAATGAACATATAGGGAAGAGGTGATTTTGAGTATTTTTATGACGTTCATAAATGATTATTCAAACTATAAATATATTTATTTGATGCACCGTAAGTCTGAATGCTTTGAATAATTTCAGGATTTTAAGGCTTGATACAGAGAAGCACCATAAAAATATATTAAATTACTACGATCTGATCATAGGTGGCTAGCACTTCTCTATAAAGTTCATTAGTTACTTATCAAAATAGAAGATTATATCTCAATTGTCTACATCGGATACTCCATAATAGAGTGGTGTAGTAGAGAGAAGAAATAGGACTCTTATGGAGATGNAGCATTACATGTATATGTTGCATGAGTAGTTCTTTTCCCATCGAAATTTGCTATTCAAGGTGCATAAATATATGTGAGCAGTGCGTTTGAAATTTTTATATTAAATAGTTATATACAATTGACTAAAAATAACAGTTTGCTCTCCATCTAAGTTGGTTCTATTTCTTTTTGGATTGTATAATTCTTGCATTATATAATATACTTTGCATGAATGACTCTTTTCCCATCGAAATTTGCCATTCGATATGCATGTATGTATATATATTGAATGCAGTCTGAATTTTATTATTCAGTGTTAATCGACTTATTATGATCTATTTAATGTTGTATATCTCAACTCCACAATGACTTCATGTAGTTTGTCGTATCACTTGTCAAAAATTTCCTTTGGTCGAGATAAGACATTAATTTGATGGATGCCATGTATGTACCATTCGCTATAAGGAATTTAATTCCGGTTTTTTAGGCAAAATAAGAGATGGATATCTAGTTCATTTTTGAACTCTTGCATTATTGAGATTGATAAATATTTTATCTCTTGTGGTACATGGATGCATGGTCTTGTTATTGTTAATGTCTCTTTTGAACTGAACAATATTAGTCTACCTTATAAGAGAAAATATTCTTCAAAATTGAGTGAAACTTATCCGTGCACTTGCGCCTTAAATCATAATTATCTTGATAGTATTTCAGTTGGTCAATGATGAACCTTAAGGTTCATTGAAAGTAGAGGCACTACCAACTTATGGACCCTATTTAGAAGGAACTATGACTAAGAAACATTTCTGCTCTAAAGGAAAGAGAGCTGGTGATAAGTTAGAACTAATCTATTTTCGATTGTGCTACCTAATGAACATATATGCAAGAGGTGATTTTGAGTATTTTTATGACCTTCATAAATGATTATTCAAACTATGAATATATTTGTTTGATGCACCGTAAGTCTGAATGCTTTGAATAGTTTCAGGATTTTAAGGCTTGATACGGAGAAGCACCATAAAAATATATTAAATTACTACGATCTGATCGTAGGTGGCTAGCACTTTTCT